CACTGGGTTGCTGTGACAAGTAATTGGGGCAGGCTGACTGCAAATTCATCAGTGTCCTCCCAGAGCCACTTATCTGTGGATGAGTGAAGGACATGACAAGTTGCACTGAGATGCACTGCTGGGAAAGGTGGTTTGGTAAGGTGGGGCTCAAAGCAAGTGCAGGGAGACAATAGGGGTGCGTGGAAGCGCAGCAACTGTGTGTTGGAAATGCAGACTGGACATGACAAGTTGCACTGAGATGCACTGCTGGGAAAGGTGGTTTGGTAAGGTGGGGCTCAAAGCAAGTGCAGGGAGACAATAGGGGTGCGTGGAAGCGCAGCAACTGTGTGTTGGAAATGGCATTACAAAGTAAGCTATCAGGCTCTAAGGTTAATAAGAGGCTGCCTGAGCCTTGACTGTGTAGAATAAAATCAGTCCTTAAAAGAAGCTCACTGGCACGGTGCTTGGCCCTGACATAGTTATCCACAGAAGCCCGAACGAATGACTGGTCTCCTTACCCTCAGTCAGGAGTACAGGTTGAGATACTCTGGGCTGACATAAAGAAATCAGCACTGTCCACACTGCCCTGGTGGTACCAGGGGAAAAGTCTTGGAGAAGTTTTCCAAGAACATCAACAAATTCAGGGATTTCCTTTTGCTAACAAAGTTCAAATCTTCTGCTGAAGGAAGATTTTCTACATGCAAATATGAATTTGGAGAGCCAAAGGTATGTGCAGGCCAGGAGAATCTCCTCCAGGAATGAGGACAGAAGAGGCCAGTGCTAGCATGTGCAAGATTTGGACTCAAAGGAGATGGGCATGTCTTTTCTTACAGGAAGGAACTGGATGAAAAGGTGAAAACCACTTTCCTTCAAAACTGGCAGGGCTGGCTGGGTATCCTTCAAGCTATGGGAGTATACACAACTGTACTCTCCAGCCCCAAGACTTAAGAGGGAGACAGATTTCTCTGAAAGAAGAGACTGGTGGGAATCTAAAAGCCCCATTGTCACACACACGGGAGAAAATGAGGGTGAGCCCATTGTCATCTGTGACAACAACCACCCAGTCAGCCCTGTGGCCTAGCTGGTCCATGGACAAGACAGTAAGAAGGATGATAATGCTGGGGGTGGCAGATCAACAGCAAAGAGCTCAGGGAGAAAATCCTTGGGGTAAACCAAGGGGTAAATGCCAGAGGAGAAACGTGGATGAGGGAAGAGAGACGCACCTCCTTGTTGAGGGCACATAGCTATATCCAACAGCACCCACAAGTGATGGTGTGCATGTAAGACAAGGCAATGTGTCTGAGAAACACAGTTGTTCATATTTCTAAGCAAGCTAGGAATAAAATGGGCAGGATCACTTCCCAGCTCCTGCAGACATGCATCAGGGGAGGTGTAGCCAGCATGTAGCTGGCTGCAGGAGCCAGCGCTGCAAGCATGGCCAGGGCAAACCTGCTGGGGAGGACGTGCTTGTGGAGTGAGTCCCTTGAGTGCACTGAGGCTGCTGGCAGGAGAAAGCATTGCTGGCATGGGGTCTCGCTGAGGCAAGTTGCCCCCTGACATCTGTGGGCATGTGGATGTGAGCAGACATTCCCGTGGTGAGTAAAGGTTATGCCATGTCGCACACTCAGACAGGCACGTCCACCATGAGAGGGTCCAAAGGAAAAATCACGCCCCTGGCCCTTCCTCTTACTAACGGGGAGGGAGTAACTATGAACAGAAGGATGATTGGGAAGTCTAGGGCAGTGACCACGAGAATCTGGAGCCTGCCTGGATGAGGGATGAGTTCACTGTTGTCAGTTAGAGACCTCAAGAGGCCTGACTTTTTGGAAGTGGAAAAAAAGGAAAAAAAAGAAAAAAAATACAATGTCAAATGTGCTGTTTCTCACAGGTTAATGAAAGGAAAACTCATCCTGTCACTCTATAGATCTTCCTCAAACCTGGAGTCAGAGCCCGTCTGACTGCCTTCTGCCCTTGGCCACCTACCAAAGACAGATGGAGAAAAATGCATCAGAGGGCTTTGCACAGCACTATGGCCAAGAGTCTGCTGCAGGACCTTTGCCTCTCTTGGGGCATGACAATACAGGAGCAGGTTTCCCTGATATCAGTGCAAAGACCTCAGGCTGGAAAAGCCCTGGGTTAGAAAGCTGGAGGAGAAAAGACTTGGTGCAAGCTATAAAAGAGACAGCCATTTGAGGAACAGTTGGAAGATGGACGTCATCTTGGACATCACAGCGAACACTATCAGACATGAATGCAAACAACCCCTACACACTGTTATTGTCTGGAAGGGTCCTAGTGTCTCCAAACCTAGAGAGGTCCCTTTTTTCCTTTCCTCCACCCTCTACTCTGTTCATACCAGACAACACATATGCCCTGCAAGCTTCATCTGACAGTACTTGTGCCACAGAGCTTCTCGTCACCAGCCACCGCCATGTTTTGTTCAGCCTCCTGACAGGCTCACCTTCTAGCCCAAAGCCTGGGCCAGGCCACCACAGAATCACAGAATGGTAGGGATTGGAAGTGACCTTTGGAGATCATCTAGTCCAACTCCTTTGCTAAAGCAGGTTCACCTAGAGCAGATTGCACAGTATCATGACCAGTTGGGTTTTGAATATCTCCAGAGAAGGAGATTCCACAACCTCTCTGGGCAGCCTGTTCCAGTGCTCTGCCACTCTCAAAGTAAAGAAGTTTTTCCTCATGTTCAGATGGAACTTCCTGTGTTCCAGCTTGTGCCCGTTGCCACTTGTCCTTTCGGTGGGCACCACTGAAAAGAGTCTGGCGCCATCCTCTTGACACCTGCCCTTTAGATACTTAGAAGCATTGATGAGATCCCCCCTCGGTCTTCTCTTCTCCAGGCTAAACAGACCCAGCCCTGCGTGTGGCTGCAGAACCCTGAGGTGGCACAGGGAAGGAGGAGCAGTGATGGCTTAGTTCATGTAGGAGAGTGCCAGGGGTCCCAGCCCCACCTGGCAGCAGTACCCCTCTGCTTGGGGTAGCGGGAGCAGGGACCAAGACACGCTCCCAGGAACAGCAGCTGCTCTGCGAGCGCTGCCTCCCCACGGGGGACGTGCTGCCCGCCTGGCACCGAGACCGTCCTCTCCTCCTTTGTGGCAGGAAACAAAGAGCAGAGGGAGGGAAGGAAGTGACTTCTCTGGAAGCGATTGTGGCGGCGGGATGAGCCCCCATCTCTTTCCAAACAGACGGAGGAGCGAGGCCCCCAGCCCTTCTCCCGTCCCCTCTTGCCTCCCATTCACTGCTGGCACCCTCGCTTTCTCCCCCCCTCTCCCTTGCCTTCTGCAGCCTGTGAAACTGGGAGAAAGGAAAAAAAGAAGGGAAAAAAAAAAAAAGAAAAGAGACAGAAAGAGAGAGGGAGAGGGAGGAAGCGGATCCGGGGCACTGTCTGGCAGGCAGACAAGGAGCGCGGCAGGGGCGGCTGGGAGCCCAGGACACTCGGCCGCTGCCAGGGCCTTCTGGGCTGCGGGGCATGTACGTGCGGTCAGCAACGTGCGAGCTGGTGTGTGCCGGGCCCGGCAGGCACGCGCGGCTGGCAGCCTGCGTGCCCCTCAGCTGAGGCTCCCAGCGGGCAGCCCCCACCTCCTGGCAGCCGGCCGGGTGGCTGATGGGCGACCGGCTTATCACCCCGGCCCCCCGGGCAGCACGTGCCACCACGCACATCCCCGGTGACCCCTCCGGTGCCGTCCAGGTGGTCACAAGTTTCCCAGCAGGTGGGTGTGCTTTTCTGTCATCCCAGCCCGCCTGCCATTTTTGACCTGAGAAAGAGAAGCCGTGAGCTGCTCCATCCCAAGGCCACGTGCCCCCTCCCGCAGGCAATGCCATGCTGGGGATCACGCTGCCGCGGCTCTCCTCTGCCTGTGTCAGCAGTTTCGGAGCAGTTCCCAGCCCAGCACGGCTCCCGTGCCCTTGAGGAGTCAGCAGAGCACCGAGGCTCCCACTCTTCCTCCCTCCCTCAACCCCCTGCTGCCTGGCACCCCTCTCTGGGGGCATCCTGCCCTGCTCCCACTTCTCACCCACCAACTCGGGAGCAAAAAGAGGTCTCACTGGCACCCCCCGCTCCAAAATGTCTCCCCAGATGCACCCAAAAGCCACATTGCACACTCAGACACACTTTCCCTTACATTAATATTAAATTCACACGGAAGGGAAGGGAAGGGAAGGGAAGGGAAGGGAAGGGAAGGGCAGACACAGAGGAGCATTTTATAGGACGTAGTTTCTTTGTGTGCACCTCTGTGCATTATATCATGGGCCAGCTGGGAGTTAACTAAGTCTTAGTCTCCTTCTCTTCCTGATCTCCTGAAAATGAATGAGGTTTCCAGCTGTTTTGGAGACCGGAGAGCAGTCTCCAGAGCTGAGGTGTGCTGAACCCATGAGTCAGCAGCTGTTGGTAACGGTTACACACACGTGGGAGACACTGCTGGGGTAGGAAAGTCCCTGTAATATCATGCACTGGACAATAGGCACGTAGTAAGTTGGCTACTCAAACCCATCCTTGGCGAGACTGAGAATATATCAACACCGCAACCAAGGTGTCCCTACGTCCTGGAGAGCACGTACTCCTTCAGCTCACTGGGGAAGCAGCAGCATTGCAGCTATGCAGGGATAGAACCTGCAGCAGCCTCTGTGGGTCACAGCTCTCGTGCCAGTGGCTGCCTTTCATTGTCATCCGCCTTTGCTCACTTTTGGTATATCCCACCCATTTCAACTGCTCCTTGCAGAAAAGCAGACCCACTGAAATCCTCTGAGTGAGATGTTCACCCCATAGCAGATAACCCCAAGGGGAAGTGGTAGCACCTGTGATGCTCCTGGGTGGCAGGTGACCTCCTTGGCTGGGTGTCCCTTGCAGAACAGCCCAGTGCAGCACTGCTGGAGAGTCCCAGCCCTTTGCGTGGGAAACATGAAAAGGGCCGTGGGCAGGGAGAGGCAAATGTCATGGGGAGGCAGGAACACCAGCTTTCGAGCCAACACCAGTTGTTCTTGTAAATATTTTATTCATTTCTCAGTTATTCACTGTAGCAGGCCACTATCTAGCCTCTGGCTATCAGAGGGCAAAAGCACTGAGGAGCGTTAAGCGCATAAGCAGGCCTGACACGTAACAACTGCTGCGGGAAGGAAGGCAGCACTTCTCATCTTCATGTCCTTCCTGCAGGTTGCTAACCCAGGCCCAGGCCCCCAGCTCTGTCCCCGCCCCTCGCTCCTGCCCTGCAGCCTGCCTGAAGGCTGTTTAACACATCGTATATACAGCAAATTTGTAATTTTTTTCTCCCAATCACAGCAAAAAGTTAATTTTCCTTCTGGGCGGTGCCAAATAATAATCCAGGTTTCCTGAAGCAGGTGAGCAATTACGTATCTATAAAACTGGATGAAGCTAGATTGGAGATGGGTTGCCATCACATTTCCTTAAACAAAGGAGGGAGATGAGGCAGATCTAATCACATCCTTCATTCAGCCCATCCTGCAAACTCCCTTTGCCATGTTCAGCGAGGGAAGGTGAGCCTTTGATCCAGGTGGCCTGAGCTGAGCAGCTAAGATGGGTAGAGATGCAAACAGAGTCCAAGCCTCTGGGTCCAAACCAACCTTAGAGAGCTCTCCAAACGTGGGGGCTGTTCAGTACTGTGCTTCTGGTTGAAAGGCATCTTGGCCTGTTGGCCAAGGCATAGCAAGGTCCAGCAAAAGCATGTTGGACTTCGTTTCAGACTGCCGGGCACAGCACTGGGGTGATGTGACAACCTCTTTGCCACCATGGGGCTAAGAGAAAGGCCCTGCTCTCCCATACAGCTCTGCCCATCCGCTGCCAGGTGCCAGCATTTCCTTCCTCAGCTTCTTCATCACAAAGGGCATGACCAGGTGGTCTCAGAGCCTGTGGCAGCAGCAGCAGAGGAGGCCGGAAGTTCCCAGTCCAATTTGCAAGAGCCTGTGGCACATGGGCAAGACTGGCTGCTGCGGAGACCTATTTGTGGTGTCTGTGGATCAAATTCAGCAGGGCACTGGTGAGACAGGAAAGCAGAACTATGGAGAACCTGCCCTCCAGTGTTCTCCATGACCTCTTTGTTTGACAGTTTTGTTCTTTCTGCCATTGATGGCAGAAAAGGTGGGTGCTTACACCAAGTGGATGTCAGAGGAGGGTTGGTTCTCCCTTTCTGCTTCTTGAAGCCAGTCGGACATAACTCCACTGGGACCATTATACCTGAAGGCAAGTGAGGGAAGCCAGGTCTTGCTGACAACACAGCAAAAGGATATGCAAAAGATGCCAAGCTTGTCAGTCCAGCCAGGTGGCGAGGGTAGATCCCCACCTACTGCCAGCTATGGCAGCTTCCCCTAACACCAGCAGCCCTTTAGCAGGCACAGACCCTCCCCAGGGCAGTGCTGCTGGAAGGCTCCTCTGTGTCATAGGAAATGGGAGCAGCAGCTTTTCTGACTGTGTCTGTGTGGAGACCTCAGCCAGGGTATTGTACTCCAGGCTTATCTCCCTCTCAGCTATTTTCCTGCTTTCCCCAGGGGCCCTGAGCTCTGCCAGGGCATTTCCCACCCTCACTCCCTGGAACCCTCTGTCTGCACACCAGCAGTGGTGTCCTCTCAGTGCCCCACTCTGGGCAAAGGTGGGGATGGCTGAATCCCATGGAGGGGGAGCTTTGTGCCGCTGGCAGGCTTCCCACCTGTCCTCCACCTATTCCTTGCCTTCCTACCAGCACCGCTCCAAACAGTAAGGAGAGAGCTTCTTCTGGGTATAACAGGGTGTATTAGGCTGAGGCTGCTTACTGGCCTGTCTGTCCAAATGCATGCCTCGAAAGCTTCTCCCGTGTCGGCCCATGCTTGTCCCTCTGCTGCCAACTTCAGGATGCCACACCTCTGCATTCACCACTTCATCCCAGAGGCACGCATGGTGAGGACCCCCATGTCTCTTCCCTGTCTCCTCCAGGGAAGCGAGCAGGTCACCTGGGGAGAGGAATAAGAGGGGCAAAAGAAGTAGCAGAGGGAGGAGATGGGATGAGTAGAAAGCAGGGGTGAAAAGCAAAAGAAGTGACAGGGTCAGGTAGGGGATGGGGCAGAAGGAAGAAGCTGAGTTAAGGGATAAACTGAAAGGACTAGAAGGCGTTGCTCAAAAGGAACTACAGGGGTTGTTTTAACTGAGAACCACTGGGACAGAGACTGCCTCCATCGTTGCCCAGCCTCTAGGCCTGGATCCCGAATGAGCAGCAAATTAATAGATGTGTGAATTCAAAACAGAGCTTAGAAGGGAGATGAATGGGTGGGAACTACCAGCATTCGGAAAACGGAGGAGACATCCAGACCCAGAAAGGCAAACATAGAAAGAAGCAGGAAACGCAAAAGCAGCCAGGTCTCAGTGCTGAAATCCCTAAAACAAGGAGGGAGAGTAAAGGAAATGATGAAGCCGAGCTGGCACACTAGGAAACAGCCTGTCCTTGTCATGTACCGCCAGCGCTGCTTTGGGGGAGCTTAGCACCAGAGCACTCCATTTGGGAAATGCCGCTCTGGAAATAGCCTGCTTGGTAGTGAGATCATTCATTCTTCTCGGCTGGAAACCTGACCCTGTCGCCAAACTTATTTTCCAGACTAGAAGCTGACGTTCATGGAAAACTTCGGCCCTGAGGTCCAAATAGTGAGATCTCGAGCTTGTCGGTGCTGGGGTTCAACACCTCAGCTGGCTGCACACCGATCTCAGAAGTGCCGCTGGCCTTGTTGCCAGCTGGCTGGTGGCTAGTCACTCTCCACACACTGTGACCAGCCCCGGCAGCCCGTGGGCTGGCTAACCTTGGGTTTGCATGGAGCGCCCATTGGATGGTCTTCAAACAGACTTACAGAGGCAAAAGCCTGGCAGTAAGTGGCAAGGGCGCAAGAGGGTGCAAATACCTGGTTTGATATTAGGTCTCCTGGCTGTTATTAAAGGGAGTTCATTCCTCCGGCAGCAGGAGGGGACATGCTTTTGGATGTCTTTTCTGGCTCCGAGCATCACATGAATGAGTGTGGATAAGTCAAACACTTTCAGTCATGGCTTTTGTCACGGAGTCATGATTCTGCCAAACCACCATCCAACTTCTGAGGTTTTGGGCGACTTCCACCATGCCATGCCGGGAACGTGAGCCATTGCCTTGGCAGGGCGTTCTCTCCCCTGGCTCTGCACTACCTGCCGTCCATGCTGCTTCGGCTGCTTTTCCATAAGCAGTCGGCCCCAATCCAAAGAAAACAGCAGCAGCGATGCCATGCCTTTGCAAGCGTCTGCAGGAAAGCCAGGCCTGCCGCAGGCGAGAAGCCTTCGTGGAGCTCAGGGGGAGGCTGGGCACACTCCAGGCCCTGTGCCCAATATTTGCCGTGACACCCGGATAATATTTGTGTGCAGCTGGCAGGTGCTCACCTCACTTTGGCCAGGGCTGCGTTTGAGTGTGTGGTGAAGGTGTGAATTATACCATTCCAGGCACTGCAGAGCACTTGAGGGACAGCCAGGGCTGCAGGCATCTCCCCTGCCTTCAGCCTTGGTTGCAGGCAAGCTCCTGTAAAGCCTTCGCCTCCCTCCCTTGCCCTCTCTACAAAAAGCACTGGTCTGGGGGGACAGGGCAGCCCCAGAAGCCACTTCACTGCCAGGCACCCCAGGGGGAACCAAGGGAGAGGCTCCCAAAGAGGAGCTGAATTTGGAGAGTCAGGAGACACGGGTTGGGAGGCTGGAGGGAACCAAAATGCCAGGTGTCCGGATGGAGGGGTGGCACCGCAGGGGGAGCGAGTCCCCGCTCCGCTCCCGCCGGCAGTGAATAACCATTATCCAGGCTGCCTACAAAGGCCGCTGGCTTGGGGCAGACGTGATGGCAGGCACAGCCTCGGCTGCCGCGCTGGTGGGAACCAGGCAGGAACCCTCCCGGCTGCCCCTGGGCTGGGCTCAGCTGCGCCCGCAGATTTGCATTGGCAGCGGGGTGGTGGGGAAGCTCGCCCGCCCCTCGCCCGCACGCTGCCAGCGTCCTGCCAGCCTTTCGCCTCTGTGAACTTTTTGTCTCCCGTGTGAAAGGGGAGCGTTTTTCAAAGGGATGGCTTAAACATTGGCATCTTAATTAGACGTGGGCAAATGGCACGAGGCGCCCTACCCCTGGCTCGGAAGCGCACCTTGGCCCATCCGCACCTCTCTCGCCTGTGGGCACCCTCCTCCTCCTCTGCCACCACCAGGTCCCTGGGGACATAGAATCATAGAATAACTGCCCAGGTTGAAAGGGGTCTTTCAGATCATCTAGTCCAACCACCAACCTAACTCTGACAAAAAACCATCACTAAACCAAGTCACTAAGCACTATGTCAACCCATCTTTTAAATACCTCCAGGGATGGTGCCTCAACCACTTCCCTGGGCAGCCCATCCCAAGGCTTAATAACCCTTTCCGTGTAAAATTTTGCTGGCCAAGCCCCTCAATCCACCCTGGAAGCCTGCAGCCCCTTGCCACCCCCAGCCCTGTCACGCACGGCTGGGTCAGTGCCCCCTCCATCCCCTCTCCCAGCCTCCTGCCGCTCTCCCAGCCCCAGGACCCTGCCCCCTCCCAGCCACCCCTCGCTCCTGACCCCAGTGTCACCTATAGCTGCAACGGCTATTCAGCCTATATCCATTACTAAGTGAAGAATCCTCTGTGAAGCGGCAAAAAAGCCCCGGCCGTACAATGCACCCGGAGTGAAAAGGGAAGGCTGTTAACACCACTTGGAAAGGGGCCTGCATTTGACAACAAACACAGCCAAGTTTCAAGCTCCTTGCTAATTAGTCTATTAGCTATATGAGCAGAGAAAGCCTCTCACCATCTAGTGCCGCTCACGCTCTCGCGCTTCAGCCCCGTCACCTCAGGAATCCCCTGCCCCGTCTCCGTGGCGCGGTGCTACGTAGGCATCACACCAGCGGCCGCCTGGCCACTCGCCTGCGCCGGGAAAGCCAGCCGGAGACGGTTCCTCGCCGCCAGTTTTCTCTAAGGGACAAAAGCTGCTAAAAAAAAAAAAAAAAAAAGCCAAAGCCCCAGGTGCTGCTGGGATGTGGGGCTGCGGAAGGAGAGGGCACCCTGCAGTAACCCACCGACCCGCACACCCATGGGATGGACCTCCCCAGCCTGACGGTGCTGGTGGGAACAGCCCTGTGAAGAAGGTGCTGGGGACAACCCGTCCCCCTGCCAAGCCCCACACCTCCTGGCCACCCTCGGGTGCCAGCGGAGCCAGCAGCCCAGGGAAGAGGTTGCTCCCTGGTGGGCCTTTGAGTGAGGAGCGAGCAAAACCACCGCTGTTGCCCCCAGAACGTGAAGCTGCACACCTCCGCACCCCCAGCCTTTTGGCACCTTCCTGGCAACCCAGCCAGCCAACCCAGCAGAGAGAGGCTCCCAGTGCTGCAGCAGCAGCAGAGGAGCATCTGTCCATCCATCAGTCCGTCCATCCATCCGTCCATGCATTTGTCCAGGGAATGGGTTAAACATCCAGTGCCCCACCCCACAAGGCCAGCCTGGGCTTCCAGGCATGGAAGGGAGAGGCTTACAGCTGGGGCTCATTACAGGCAGCCATAAAGAGGGTGGAGGCGCTTCCTCCCACACTGATCAGAGGAGCTTCGCAACTGTGTGCCCTGGAGCCAAGGGATGAGGTCCAGGGCTTGTTTACTGCCTCCTGTGAAACAGGGGAGTTTTGTCCACGCCAGGGAGAAAGCTGGCTGATCCCACCAAGAAGTGATGCGTTATGTGCTCCCCCAAAGTGATGGGACCACTCGATGACTATCACCCGGTCTGCTTTGGTTGACTTCTCCAAACCAGGAGAGCCTAATTTGGCTGGCCTGCCTTAGGATATTTGTTCATCTAATGTTCTCCCCACTGGAAGACAAGAGGGGATACTGTGCTCCCCAACATTTTACGGAGGGTATTCTGTTAACAGAGCCTGTTGACAAGCCATGGGGACAGAGGCACTTCTCCTGACTGAAAACACGGAGCTGCAGTGGCAAAAGGTCTAATTTGCTCCTGCACTGTGCAAAACTTGCAGAAACCAAGGGAAAAGAAGAGGCAGCCTTTCTGATTTGGCCACAGTGCACTGAGGGGTTGACACCAAAGTCTCCAGACACTGAGCTCAGTGCCTGCTCAGACAGACTGTCCAAAAGACTTGGAGATCTTGGAGAAATTTAACAAAAATCTTAAGGGATGCACTAATAGCAGAGGAACTAAGCAGCAGCCATTTTGTCCTAAGGATGGCATGTTGCCTGGCCATCAACAGATGAATGGAAACTCACACGCCAAGGGATGCCGGAAGCATGGCCTTTTCCCTTGGAACGACGGGGAGCTCCACATGAAAAATGGATGACTCACTCTCCCAAGCAACTCAGTCAGATGGGGAGGGGAGGAGGTCGTGGTACTCCTCCAAGCTCAGCTCCTGGAACAAACTTGCCATATACCAAAATGTGATGTTATCAGATGTTTGGCTGGTGTGGCTGGTCTCCCGGCTCCCTCAAGCAAAAGGCTCCCTCGAAGCCGTTCTGGATGGTGGAAATCAATAGTGTAGATGCAATCTGCTTTGGTTTTCAGTGAAAGCTGGGAATGTCTGGAGGGCCAGCTGTATCTTATGAAGGTTGCTATGATGGTCATGTACCTCTTCAGCAGAACTAAACCAACTGCTGGGGCAGTTTCATCTTGGCTGAACGGGAGAGCTGGAGAAGGTACTTTCCAAGAATCTGAGCTGTGTTATCCACTGTGACCTCTTTCTCCTCCCTGGCAAGTATAGGGAATTTTGTACTCCCTGAGGGATGGCCTTATCAAATGCTCTTGAGCTGTGATCTGAAGTCCTGGAGAAAACTATTCCCCTTGGTTTCATCCTGCACTGCTACACAGAGGCGATTCAGCCAAGGAGTTTGGAAGAATTAATTATTAATGGGTCATGAGATCACTGAGGTCACTCATCTGTGAAATCACTGAGGAGCAGAAAATGGATCAT